ATTAAGCCATATTTCAACATATACTTCAACAATTTTCCATGTTTTGTGACCTAAATAAGTGTGCAAAAGCAAAACACACTTATCACGCCAATTCATTATTTTTCACATTTTTCTCCATCCGCCCCCACTATTTTACTACCACATCACCGAAATGGCATGTGTAAATAGGACTATTCATAATTGACCTTAAAAACCTGTTAAAACCCTAAACCCAACCAGAGAGGGGGAAAAACGGACATACACAGCAAGAACAATGGGAAAGAAAGAACAAAAATTACAGAAACACAATAATAGTAGTACAAAGCAAGAGGAGCTTCTGAAAACACTAGGGGATTTCACCAGCAAAGAGAATTGGGACCAGTTTTTCACCATCAGAGGCAGCGACGATTCATTCGAATGGTACGCCGAGTGGCCTCAACTTCGAGACATACTCAAAACCCACCTCTTATCATCATCTCCCCCACCGGAACCCTCCGACGGAATCGGCGGAGATACAGCACACGTGACGCCGGAGGAAGTTCAGATTTTAGTGCCGGGGTGTGGGAATTCGAAGCTTTCCGAGCATTTATATGACTTGGGGTTTAGGAACATTACAAATGTGGATTTCTCAAAGGTGGTTATTTCGGATATGTTGAGGAGGAATGTGAGAGATCGGCCAGAGATGAAGTGGCGCGTCATGGACATTACTAGTATGCAGGTTTGCTCAAGGTTTTGAATTTTTTACTTCTTATTTGTCACTGAAGATATAAATTTGCTTTTTTGTAATTTAAGAACATCAATAACATCTTGAGTACTGTTGGAACTATATACGACCACTTTAATGATTTGAGAAGGTCTGAATGAAACTCTAGGAAGATTTATCACGTTTTGTGGGATGCAAGTGGTTGCCTTGTGACAATTATTGAAATCACTCGTATAGCTCTTCAAAGTTCTAATTTAATTCTCTGCCAATTATATGTTCCAAAACCTAGTATTCAAAGCCTTAATACCCTAACAAAATTAGGGTATAATGCCTTAGTAACTATACCAGATATTTCCCGAATGTGAGTGCTTGGAACTTCACACAACTACAAGATAGTCAGCTAAAAGCTAACATTGCAGACTTTCGCAACTACTAGTGTGCCTTAGGTAGAATGTTATAGCTTGTACGTAGATTGTGGTATAGGTGTTTTAGGGGTGTGAAACTCACTAAAAAAGAAATGCTAAACTTTAAAGCTCGACTTTCAAATTGTCCCGAAAGAAATGTACCAATATGAATCGTGGAATGAGCATATTGGCCTCGTAAGTGCTGACAAAATTACATGAATATACGCAAGACTGCAAATATGAGATTTTCTTGATTTGATTCCTTTTCATTTTTTTCCCTGTAAGCACATAAATCAAATCATTCATGGGACAATGAGCCTCAGTAATTGGAATAGTCTTCTTGCGTCGAGTGGTATGGATGATGGGTTCCTTTTTTTATCTTCCTCCTTTTAATTAGTGTAGTTGATGTCTTTCAGAACTTACGCTGTATGAAAGTCCTGTTAATCTTCTCTTTCCTACAAGTCTAACTTGCAACTTTATGTAAACACGTTCTCCCATGGTTGATAACCCCTCTCCTCGCTTTGAAAACTCAATTTTGGTGGGTATTATGATTGTACTTCAGTTGAGAGAATATATAGGATGAAAACAAATTAGCAAATATGGATGACTTGACAAGAATTGGCTCAATAATCTTTTCGGAATGTATTGCTTTAATTTATAGAATATTACAGAGAAAATTAAGGAAAGAAGTTTTTGTGTACAAAATCAGAAATCCCTGATTCTATGGCAACTACCAATTCCATACGAGTTATACATGGAAACCCCTAATTAGCTTTAAATACTCTAATATGACTATCAACTTTCTTCTGTTGGATCTAGTAATGTAACCTTTACCCTCCTTAAGGGTTATCAATTGCTTACTAATTTTCGTTATTCATTTCTTCTTGTGGATTTCTTCTTCATTGGCTACCACTACTTTCTTATGGAACCAATTTTATGTCTGTACTTTTGACAACACTCCTCTGTTATCTGCTCTTATTTTCTAACAGTTGTGACTTCAATTCAGTTTGTTGATGAGAGCTTTGATGCAATTCTTGACAAAGGAGGATTGGATGCTTTGATGGAACCAAAGCTTGGCCCCAGATTAGGAAATGAGTATTTATCAGAGGTGCCCAAAATAACTTTTACGTCTCTCTTACAAAATATTCCAAATGTTATTTTCAGTAATATATGATTGTTCCCAAACTTGACTGGTGGCATTACCTATTTGTGCATTACCAGGTGAAAAGGGTTCTAAAAGTTGGGGGAAAGTTTATTTGTCTTACCTTAGCAGAAAGTCACGTACTAGGTATTGTTCATTTGGATTACATTTGACCTCAGTTCTCTTTGTAGTTTATATATAATGAATAACAATATATTTTGCTGTTCAATAATTTATTCATAGTTATAATTAACATCATTTGAACAATGCAGAGAGTTAAGATTTTTTTTCCCCTTCTGAATTTCTTGCAGAACTACTTTTCCCCAAGTTTCGTTTTGGGTGGAAATTGAGTCTTCATGCCATTCCTCTACAACCATCTAGAAATCATAGACCACAACTACAGACATTCATGGTGATTGCTGAAAAAGATAATTCTACTGTAGTTGCTCAAGTGTCATCCTTCATAGATCCATCATCTATTGAGTATTCCGGAAATCAGGTAGAGTTTGTCCTTGGTCTTTCTTCTTCTCTGCTCTTTCATATAAATTATAATTAAGTAATTTGCTTGAAACATTGTTCTTTTTCGAAAAAGAAGTTTCCAGCTAATGTCTAAACTAAGTAAGCATCTATGTGCAAATAATTTATAATTGCAAAACATAACAATACATTCCTTAAGAAGTTTTACTATCATATTGAAAGCTCAATTTGATCTTTTGACATGCTTCAGGCTCGCGAATTCTTTAAAGCGGTTGAAAGAGAAAATGAAGTTCGCACGGAATACTCCCAGGGTTCTGACATATATCACTCGCTTGAAGACTTGAAACTAGGGAGTAAAGGAAACCTGGAAGAGCTTAATCCGGGTCGTAGGGTACAGCTAACTTTAGGTGAACCTGGATTATCCCGTTTCTCATACAAGGCTGTACTTCTTGATGCTCAGAAAGATTCTGGACCTTTCACGTATCATTGTGGTGTTTTCCTTGTCCCAAAGGTTGAATTTTCTTGGTGCCCATACGACTTATGTACAACTTCAGGATTATTCAGTTTTTGAGTTGAATTTAAGCAAGTACTACGCAGAGTGGGGAAGGTTCACTGTTTATATCTGTTTCACCTGGATTAGAAATGAGTGTTTTCCTCCAGCCCAAAGACCTGAAAATCATGTCCTTTTTGTGTCTTACTGTCTTAGTTTGCCTATATTTTTCTTATGCATAAAGTTTTTTTCTCTCTTAAAAACCTCAAATATTTTCGTAGTTGAGACTTGCAAATGCAAGGTACAATAATTGATGTTTTATGGTTAGAAAGCTTGATGGTGTCTGCTTTTAAGCCTTATCTTCCCCTTATATATTGCATCTTTCGTTAGCTTCAATTGAACTGGTTTCTAAATGAAGTTTATGTTCCAGACAAGAGCTCGTGAGTGGCTTTTTTCATCAGAAGAAGGTCAATGGCTAGTTGTTGAAAGCTCAAAGGCTGCTCGTTTGGTCATGGTAATTCTTTTTGCTCTTTGATCACTTCCATGTAAATCAATTCCTTTGTCTTGTTTGTTGTTTGTTCTGAAAAGTCTTAATATAATATTATCTTTTGACTTTAGATTTTGCTGGACTCCAGTAATTCTAATGGTTCAATGGATGATATCCAGGTGGTATTCTTCTTTATTTTTTGTGCTGATAGATGATCTGTCATGGTAACAATTTGTCAATAAACTAAATGGTCTATACATACATATTTTTCAGAAGGATCTCTCTCCTTTGGTAAAGCAATTGGCACCGGGTGATTGTGACAATGGAGCTCAAATTCCGTATGCATCAATCACAATTCACTGTTACTTCTTGTATTTCTAATTAGGATACAAAAGTTTCTCTTTTTATTCACAATAACCTTCTTTGGCCGTTTCTCTTATCATGTATGTTTACCTTTTGTTTTCCTATTCATTTCATATCTGTTTACATGTACCTCTCAACCATGTTCTGTTCTTTCTTTCTCAGCAGCCACTGTCCTTTTTTGTTAGTTTCTGTTATTGTGGTTGGTATTTGGTTGTTTATACAAGTTTCTTAGTCTAGATGTTGTTAAAAGAGTAATGGACAAACTTTTTATTGTTGAATTCAGAAATGTTCTTATTATGCTCAATATTAATTATTTCACCATGCTTCTGATGTAGAAATAAATAATTTATGAGTAAGAGAGATTCAATTAAATGAAAATTAGTCAATAGTTTCAAGTAAGAATGTGCTATCAGTACATTCCCTTAACCAGGAGCATCTGTATCTCAGCTTATATTAAGCCATTTTTGGTACCCATTGTTTCCAAAATACATATTTCCCCCCTCTTATTTTCAACCACACATTCTTCAATAAAATAATATTACATGCAAACCCAAAACATTTCCTTATTTTTTAACCACACATTATCTATCAAATCACTATTCCAAAATGCATTATTTGCCAAAAAAATGGGGCTCAAACATGCACTAAATATTTTCCATGTTCAATGTTAGTTACTTTGCAGTAAGGGGGTAACGGAGTGAAATAAGAAAAGTTCAACTATTCAACTAAGTTTGATCAACGTTTGACAAATTTCCTAAATATCCTAATTTAACTTAAATTATTTAATATTGATTATGTAGAATTTAAAAATTATTATTAAATTAATAAAACAATAGGTGACTAAATTTATTTCTAAATTTTAACATAATAAAGTTGAGTTCTTTTCAGTCATATAATGTTATTTGTTTGCTTACAAGTACTGGATTTACCACATTTAACTTATAAGATAAATCCAATGTTATGCATGACTTGAGAAAACCACTGCTATTTATAAGCAGAAGAAGCAATATTAACTATGAGAAATGATTTTAAATTATATTGAACGATCTATATGTCTCTCTTCAGCTATGCATGATAATAATTTATATATGGGATTGTTGTAAGAAAATAATTATTGAGTGACTGCTTGACTTCTTAATGAATATGCCTTAAACTTGAGTTTATCAATTGTGTTTATTGCAGGTTTATGGCTGCAAGTGATGGAATTAAGCAGCGACGCATTGTGCATAAGGTTCAAATATTTTTCTCGAACTGCTATTTATATTTGCGTAATGTCATCATCCAACTATCAACCATCATCTGATTTTACAGAGTAAAGGAATATAATAGTCCATGATTAATGTTATGCGTCTTTTGGATCACTACTCATTTATGATCCATCTAAAAATTGTTGTATGTTGGCATTTTATGTGAAAAGAATTAAAATTCAGGATTTATGGAAAAAAAAATTCAATGAGCTTCCAAATGTACTAGTATGCAGTCGTTCAACTTCTATTCTTCCTTTTGCGTCATCTTGAATGTGGGGTTGATTTTTCTAGTCATTCAAGCAACTTTTAGGAGCTATTTCACATTGATTTATTTGACTCTCAACTCTAATAATCTTCTAGATGATAGTGTCTGGCTATATTGTCCTTAATCATATAAATTGATTAAGAAAAAAAGTGTGAAGTCAACCTAGACAACCAATAGAAGACTGGAGAAATATTTTTAAGAGACTGAATTATGATGTCAAGTTCATCTTTATTAGGTCTTTCCATCAATGAAATTTGATTTCCTAGAATTTTCTTGTCTTATTTCTTAGATGTTTTGGTATAAGCAAAAGATGCTTTTGTTATGCGACACATATTTGTGCCAAAGAGTTTAATTTCTTGGAAAAGTCTATAATATTATTGGATGTGCTTTGTGCATCTTTCTATTAAATGTAGAAAGGTGATCCAGGCATTTTATTTGTTAAATTCCGTATCTTCTTGTAAGCTTAAATATGTAAGCTTAATAGCTCAATTGAAGTGACTATTTTGGCATGCATCTTGTATCAAGGATACGAGCTCTCTACTTTTCAAATTCTTGTACGAGTATGAAATTGGTTGAACTTGAATGAGTTTGTGATTCTTGTATGTACATTTTTTTGTTAATGATTTTTGACAAAAAATTCATTTAGTCAAATTATGACACGTAGTGCATGTTTGGGAAACATTACAATTTTCTTATAACTTAATTATAAAAGAAAAATATTAATTTTAATCACACATTTCATAGGATCTACAACTACTCTCTACTTATCCACCATGCTTTTCTATTCCATTATAATTTCAGCAACTTATATTTTTATCCAAACGAGCACATAGTAGTTTGTATAATTTTCATTGAAATGCTCATGTCTCCCATTGGCAAATTGATTATGTGGGACTTCGGAAGAAAGTGGCATTTTGTATTAAAAAATATTTGTATACACATTTCATAGGACTCACAACTACTACCTATTTATCCACTACTCATTTCTATCACATTATAGTTTCAACAACTTATATTTTTGTCCAAACAAACACCTCGTAATTTGTAGAATTTCCACTGAAATGCTCGTCTCTTCTGTTGGCAAATTGATTATGCATTTTGTAAGTGGGACTTCGGAAGAAAGTGGTGTTTCATGTTAAAAAATATTTGTATACACCATTGTTGACTCGTGATTTAGTATTTTGAAAATGTAATTTGTAGTATTTCCTTGCAAAATTTTACATCAAGATATACATTGTAAGTTTTCATCTATATTTATTTCTTTCTCTAGGCTACATCCACTTTGACTGGCTCAATTATTGTGGATGATGTGATCTATGAAAAGCTAGGCGATGATCTCAGTCGTCGCATTCCATTTAATGATGTCATGTTTCGCCGCCTTATGTTTCAAAGAAGTGAGGGTTTGGTTCAATCTGAAGCTCTTCTACTAAGAGAAGGATCGATTGAAACTCAAATTGATATAGAGAAAAGAAGAACGCACTCAACTTCTAAGTCCAAGAGAAAAGGAA